GAGGAATTTTTACCGGTCGGGTTCGGCCGTTCCGAATAACATTACGACGATAAAAATAATATTATAAATGTCAATACTGTTGCATTTTTTTTTTTTTTTTTACCGATTTTTTCTAACGACCAGTTCCGCGTGCCGTACGGAATTCTCTGCCCGTTGTGCACACATTGCGCAGCTGACGGTAAACACCGGACTCAAATATCGCCTCGCATTTACGCACAGTCCGCCGCAGCAATAACGCAGTACGGTAAAATAAAACGTACGCGTGCGCGCGCTTGCGCGTGTGTGTGTGTGTGTGTGTGAGTACATATGTACAGTACGACCGTATTATATAATATATTTTTATTTTATATACACCGCACTGAACGTGAAAAACCGTTAACTCGAGTTCTTTTTAATTTTGTCTCGGGAACACGGTAGCTGGCGTACGTATACGTATATTGTTGTTTATTTAAACTTTTTTTTTTCCTCGTGCATGCAGGTTCGCGTACCCGTGTCAAAAAATGTTTGAAAGTCTATTGTTGTACCGTGCCACAGCAACACGAGTGTAATAATAATGGTAATAATAACAATAATAATAATAATAATAATAACAATAATAGTAATAATAATACCTCCAACACACACACGCAAAAGGAGAAAATAACCGTAGGTATAGGCCGTTCCCGACCTCCTCGGCTCGATTACAAAATCGTTTTTAAGTGTTCGAACCTCGAAAGAGCATAATAATTTCCATAGTCTATATTGAGCTCCTTATTTCACGTGTTACGCGCTTTAAGGTGTTTGCGTGAAACCATTGTTCGTTTGATTTTTTTTTTTTTTAAAACCGCGCGCTTTAATACCATCTGCCTTCTCATGTTCTTTAACATACTCACCATTATTCGTTTTTATTCTATATCGAGTTTAAGAAGTCTTCATTTGTTTTTCTTTTTTGGTTACCACCACTTGTTGTTTACATCGTTCCTCAATGTTGCATTTCCTCCAGAAATATATCCTTTTCTCTTTTATTTATTCTCCAAGTTTCGCGTCCGAAAATAAGTTTTGTTTATTCTCTTTTTGCTATTTATGTTTTTTTTTCTGTCGATAATTTTTTCCTCACGTGTAAAATCTTGTTAGCTCGTCCTACATTCTGCTTTTAATTTCTATTACTTCCATCATCTGTAATAACACTACCCAAACAGCTAGCGGGGTTGAGTCGTTTACTTGTTCGATTTATTGGTTTTTTGATGTATTATATTTTATTGGTGTAATCCATTGATTTCGTATAACGCCCGGGTATTCATCTTCACTGCATTTATGCTCAGATTTTGTTTTAAAAAACGCGCGTTATGGACACATTCTATTTAGTGCTGCTTGTAAGCGAAAACGGTCAAACGGAGTGAGACGTGGGAAAATGTGCCCCCTACGGTTTGTATAAAAGAAAAAAGATGACGAAAACATAAGTAATAATCGTTAAAAAAAAAAAAAGTCGAAGTCATCTGATCACCGTTTCGTAGAAAAACCTTTCGACCACCGTTGTAGTTGTAAGTTGTTTCCCCCCCCCTTCTCCCTCCCGTGTAAAACAATATCGTATTATTATTTCGGTGGAAATAGCAAGTTCGCGCCACGAATCAATCCGACGTATAACACTTCGTACGACGCACAATAATAATATATTGTCGGGAACAATTTGTGTCTGAAATTCACGTCTAGGAAAGTGACTGTTGTAGTTGTAACGAACGTTGTCCCGGCCCATCACACTCCCGCAAAATATATAATGTCAAAGTACGCTCGTCATATTCAATATAATATTCATTCGAAATTGACGGTTATAATATGTTAAGCCGAGAACCCGAAAAAGATAATAATAATATATAACGTAGCATATAATCCATTAGACGGTATTGGTTTTTCGTATACACACGCATTTTAACGTGATTGCAAACGCTATATATATATAATATATGTGTGTGTGCGTGTGTGCTTTTTATATACATACAATAATTGGTCTTTTTTTAATATTTTTAATACTATCGATGCACTTACGAGGATACGCGTATATCGACATTTATATACACCGAGAAAATACCAAAATATTGACGACTGATAATGATTCGTTTGATCTATTTTCATTAGTATGTTCTATACTTTTATATAATAATTAAGGTTGAGAATAATTTCCCTTCCTTAGAATAAAATGCTTTTATATGTCCTAAAAATTCGTGATAGTGTAGTATGGAAAACAATGACAGATATGAAAAAAACGTTCTAGTGGCGAACTCAGGATTTCATTGCTGTGGGTCTGCATCGCTTACGAGAGACCGTGAGTCATAACTAATTTTTTAGTAAAATTTAAAACTGACTTACAAACTTTGGTATCGTTAATTAATTCGAATTTAATTGTTTTTTTTTTTTTTGATTTGTTACGTTCAAATTGATATTCACTTAACAAACTTATCTGGGATATTTAAACAATTTTGAGTATTTTGGATTTCGAGAAGAAATCATACACATTTATTATTGCGCTGGCAATACGATTTCGTACGCGCTTTTTATGCTTCGACACCCAGTCTTCACGTTTTTCTACGCATCGTAATTTCTCTAATACATTTATACATTTACAATTGTATTTTCGTAGAAATGTTCTTGGTCTGTGTACATTCTATACATTACTCATAACACCTATCATATTATCGTTTAATATTATTTCCGTTTTGATTATTGCAGTGTTGTACATATTCGTGTAGTTTGTCATTTCGAAGGGCCACATTTTACCGAGAAAAAAACTGGGCAAGCTGACCTCCCCCCCCCCTCCCCCTCGCTCGGGCCCGCCCCTGAGTTCTAGGTAACGGGGACGAGTGCAGCCACTGTTATAGATAGTTTAATGTATACCTGTAAGCAACGAAGAACCATTGCATACATAAAAACGTTACTGAGTGGAGTTCAGTTGATAGTGATGCTTTGTCAACAATATACGTTTTGGTATGTGCCATTATTTAGTAAAATAATTAAGGAGGCTTTATATGATTTCTTTAATAATATTTGTTTATTGTTGTACCGATTTTCCTACTTTTCCTAAGTTTCTTCAGGTTTTCCCGGGTTTTATCCCGGGTTTTCACATTTACCGGAAAAACTTCTGAGAAATCAATCGAAAAATGATCTCTCTAAAATACCTCTCTAGTGAAATTTTATTTTAAAAAACATTGATATCATTAAAACCAGTTATTAAAACCATAAGTTTCTTCGCTCCACTTAGAATCTAAAATTATCAAAAAATGCAAAACAAAATTGAATGATTTCGTAAAAATTCAAGTCATTCGTTATACCTTTGAATTTTGATTTTTCTATTATTTGCCCGATAATATAATATGAGTATTTATTAATTTATAAAAATCGTGCTATCGTGTAAATATATTAATATATACAGTTTAAAAATCGAATTTTAGATCCAAAAATCCATAATTCTCTTAAATAGTATAAAAAAATAAAGAAAAGGACTTTGAAATAAAAAAAAAAAAATTATCGAAATAAGCAAAATAAATTTCCTTTTTTTCATTCGAAAATAGACGAAATTAATCAGTAACAAAACTGACATTGCACAACAAGCTTTGGTAAGCAATAGAATCTCAGATTTGGATAGATAATTTGTATTCGTTTTTTGATTGGAGTAAGATTTCACTTAGAAAAGTTATTAACAGACAGAGAAAAACAACATACACTATAGTAATAATATTAAATTCTTCGCTGTGTCCAGAATCTCAAAAATACTCGAAACTGAAACAACTAAAATTACATGTCGACGTTTAAAAGTCATGGCACGTTTATACGCGTTGACTGTATGAGCGTTTCAGTTATAATGTTTAAAGCTTAAACAGCTTTTGTCGTGCGTCGAGTGAAAATCCTTCGGTTCGCCAAGAGAAAATAAAATCACACTGTGTATAAAATATAATTTGAGTGGGTTACAAGCTACGCGTTTTCGTTTGATAGGGCCGTTTAAAATTGAAAATTGAGACGTGCGTTAGGTCGCGACTTGTTGTTTGTAAAATATAAAATAGGAACAATTTTTTTTTCTTTTGGTGTCTAAAATTTGACAACACGGAATAGTGTTTAGCGAGTACTGGAGGTCGATGAACTTTGGCTGATGACAGACCGAGAGAGGCCAACTGTGGACGGATTTACTGCGTTTTAGTTGATCGATACCTTATAAGTTTAATCATTTAGTACGTAATAATAGAATGATTGTGAATTCTAGGTTTCGGAAAATAGATTTAGTCAGGATCGCCAGTGATGTTAGTTCGAAAATGCGAACATCTAATCGAGCCTTTAAAAATAGAATTTTCAGAAATTAGTCTAGCGATCCAACGGCTCTCCTCAGATTGCATTATTATTAAAAAAATCGAGAGATACCGAGAAGAAAAAGGTCATTAAATGCTCTATGCCAATAAATAGCTCAAAAATGTCCTATTGTTTGAAAATTTTACCACGTCTAGAAAAGGCAAATATTAGTTTTCTATCCAAAATTCAATTTTCTACGAAAATTTTTAACTGAATTATAATAAATAATAAAATAGAAAAAGTAATAAAAGCATTTTGTTTTGTAAATTTCTCGTTATTTTTATGTTTTTTTCCTGGTTTTTCCCAGATACTATGAAAACCTCTTGGAAAATCAAAAATTGACTTCTCAAAAGTACTATCTGGAGAGCATTTCTTTCAGGTAATGGTTTCACGCGAATATATCATCGTAAAACCAATACATTCTTTGCTACACTCAGAATCTAAAACTACAACATAATAACTACGGTTACTTTTTTTTTTAATTTTATTTTTTTGTTCCATTTAAACTTGCCTCTACAAGATTAACTAGCTTTTTTGGAAACTTAAATTCCCTAAGAATATTGATTAAGCTTGCCCTGTGGATAGAGTCGTAGGCTTTCTTGAAATCCACAAATAATGTATACACGTCTTTATGGAACTCCCACATTTTTTGAAGGGTCTGNTCTCTTACTATCTTCTCCAACACTAAGTTAAATAGTACAGGAGAAAGCGCATCTCCTTGTCTTAAGCCTGTCACCACTTCCAAGAATATTGATTAAGCTTGCCCTGTGGATAGAGTCGTAGGCTTTCTTGAAGTCCACAAATAATATATACACGTCTTTATTGAACTCCCACATTTTTTGAAGGGTCTGCCTAATCACAAATATTTGGTCTGTTGTTGACCTGTTTGGTCTGAAACCTCCTTGGTAATCCCCTATTATTTCTTCCGCAATCGGCTTTATTCTGTCTAATAGGCAATATGCAAGAATTTTATAGGTTACGTTTAATAATGCAATTCCCCTATAATTGTTGCATATCTGGGGGTCGTTATTTTTGTGAATAGGGCACACTAGCGCAGTATTCCACTGCTCCTGGAGTCTTTCCTCCTGCCAAACAATTTCAATAATACTATGTATTTTTGATACTGTTTCCTCATCTAATTTTTTTAATATTTCTCCCTGAATCCTATCTTCTCTGGGAGATTTTTGGTTTTTTAACCTTAATATTTGTTGTCTCGTTTCATTGATAGTAGGGGGTAGACATTCGTAATCGTTGGTTTCTACTAGTGTCCATTCAAAAGTTTCTTCTGGATTTTCGCAGTTGAGCAGTTGGTCAAAATATTGTCTCCATTTTTCCAACATCTCTTCCTGTCCTGTTGTCAGTG